TATTGTTTTTTTTCTTAAAATTGTCAGCCTTTTTTTTATAGCGCAAAAAATAAAAAAACGCACAGGCAATCAAATACCACCGAAAGAAAGCTCTATTTGTGTGAAAAAAAGGACATAAAGTTAATTTATGTACCATATTGCATGACCGCACAATTGTCCGTTAAACTAGCGCAGCGCTGTATAGCAGAAAAATGGTGTAAATTGCAGTATCTATACCATAGTTTGTAGACGCTATAACTTCCACACAAAGCAATCAATATACACTTATTGGGATTTTTTTTTACCAAAAACATGGAGCAGAATACATTTTGGCCTAAATTTATAACTAACTTTGAGTTTACTATATATGTTTTATAGCTGAAATTAAAAAATATAGTTTTTCTTCAAACGTTTTGGTCTTTTTTTGTTTATAGTGTGAAAAATAAAAAGCGCACAGATGATCAAATACCACCAAAAGAAAGCTCTATTTGTGTGAAAAAAAGGACGTAAATTTCGATTGGGTGCAGCATTGCATGACCGCGCAAATATCAGTTGAATTAGTGCAGCGCCAAGTAGCAAAAAGAGGCCTGGTCATTAAGGGGGGTAAATCCTCAGGAGGGCAAGTGGTTAATTCACTTTTTACTTTTCGGCCAAAGCCTTACTCATAACATGTTTAAACTTATTATGAGTAATGTCTCAGCTGAAACGCGTCAAAATGTTACTGATGTATCCTGCTATGTAGCCAATAAAGAATTGTTCCAATGGATTTTACCCAGTAGCTGCCTTCATTGTATCAGAAGAGGATTGCGGCGCAGCCCCATTCACTTGAATGGGTGAATTTATCAGGTGGCAACACCTGTCAACTCAACAAGCAATGTTAAATTGTGTTTACAGTGCCCTTTGGCTTTATGTTTTATTTTGGGCTTGTTCACACCAGCAGTATGCACTACGGCATGAGATAGGAAGGCAGCGGTGTCAGTGTGCTGTAAAATGCATATTGCACTGTAACATTATTCTTTAGAACTTTACTGAAATTTCACAAATTTCTTTCAGTTCTATTGGCTGCAGCACAGTGCAATGCAGTAGACTGCATCACAACATGCTGCTGAGAAAAAAAACATTGAATGCCATACTTTTATCAGCATGGTGGTGTGAACTGTCAAGCTTTTTGCCCTGTGTATGCATTGGGCAAGGCTGCCCAGCACAACCATGCAATGCCATGTTCATTCGACCTGGAATTCAGCCTCTTGCAGTCCCGCTCTACATCAGATCTGGATTGTAAGTGAAATAAGCAGCACAAGGAGAACGCAGAGTGACAGAGAGATGGTGGCTGCTTCTCTTTTTGCTGTCCAGTCACAGTCTGGGGGCATCCAGGATTAGGCTCCATGTACACAAGACGTTTGGAAAACACTTCTGAACGATGGAAACTGACTGATGGAAAATGTAGGTTAAAAAAAGTCTGTTTAGCCGAGTTTGCATACCGAGTTTATGAGCGTTTGTGTTTAGCGTTTTTTAAAGATAACCTTACGAAACCTTCCAAAATGCCCAGAATGCACTGAAAAACAGTAAGAAATTAACTATTTCAGACATTTTGAGAGAAATAGAGAGAGCAGTATTTGTTTGTCGTTTTTTTTTTTTTTTCATGGTGTTTGGATGTGTTCCAGCTCATTTCTATGCATAAATTATTGCAGTAGTGTCTAACATATTTTCTTTCATGCAAAACCTCTAAGTATGGTGTGCTAGGTCCATTTGAGTACCAGGAAAACACTTTGCATGCATTTTTCATGATGAAAAAAGGTTCTGGACAGCATCTGGAAATGGAAGACTTAAAAAAAAATTTCCAACGCAAACCCTTATAACCGCGTTTACACGTGTTTACAAGTGTTTGCGTTTGAAACGCTGATAAAATCTACTCCTGAACGGAAGTTTGTTGTGTTCAAATAAACGACTGTAAACTCAACTGCCTGTAAATGACTGTAAATTACATAGTGTACATGGATACATAGGAAAACATTAAGGAAAATTCAGGGGCTGCTGAAAAAAAAAGCAGAAAAGCTCCTAAACGTGAGTTTATCAGCTGCAGTGTGCATGGAGCCTTACCTGGGCGCAGAGGAATCAGGTAGAATGATTTAGGCCATCAGAGTAAGGACATCTAGTAGCAGAAAATAAGTACTGCAGGGGAAATCTTTGGATGGAAGGTGCACATTGCAGCAAATCTGGTTGTATTATTGGACCATTCATTTTTTTATACTTTTGGTTGGTGTTCTACTTTAAATACACTTTAACTACTGAAAGTTTGTGTTTGTTTTTTTATTGGATAGCGAACCCTGGTTTTAGTGGTATTCTGTTAAATATGGCTATTGTATTCATTTTAAATTCACTGATACTGAAAACTTAACTTTCCATGGGAAATTTACAAGGGAAAAAAGTTTTCACTGTACAAAATAATGAAAAAAGATGAACATACCCTTTGATTTCGCACATGCATGCTATAATTCTGTTTTTTTTTTTCTAACAAATTATACAGGATGGGAAAAAAGAAGGAAAGCTGTGGATGTACTGTCACTTCCTGCCCGCTAGTGGAAATCCTATCTTGTTTTGAAGAGAGATGAAGTCAGATGATGAAAGAAACAGAAAAGTCAGGGCATGGGGGAATATAGCAAGCACAGTGTGAACTCTTTAAACTCCGAACCCTTTAAAGATAAATGCCATGGATAGACCCGGGATTTGAATGATTCTCCTTGGAATTTTTCTACACTTAAGAAAAAAAGTAATTACGTTTTTACTTTCCAAAACTACCTGACACATCATCACTTGGACACACATTGCAGTACCTCTTTCTACAAGTTAAAGTGATACTAAACACACACAGTTTAATTTACATTATCCCTTCTCTTTCTGTATGTGCATGACAGCACTGTGATTCTTGATAAAAAAGTCCATTGAAGTATCTTTTTGTCCTAATCACTATACAGCTGTCACATGACCCAGCTCTTTCCCAGCCTCTCTGTAGGGAAACAGTGGCAGGAGGAGCTTCTAGTCCTCTGCTGTTGGTAACACGTTCAAAGAAAAAAAAACAGCCTTTGGGATATGGAGTAAAAATAAATATTTAATATCAATAAACTCTTTTAAATTGTTATACTAATATATGTTTGAAATTAAATCTTTATTTTTTTTTGGCAGTAACATGGTGTGGGTGGATTTCTGCTAGTCACAGGCTGTGTCATGCCCCTCCAGCCTGCATCTTAGAATAGCAGGGAGGTGAAGCCTCCATCAGTTGAGATGTACTATCCCACCCTAGTTTGTTTAGCTGGTTAGTGGGCATAGAGGAGGAGGGAGGGAGTGGGCTGTCACCACTGTGTATACACCCAATGTGCGACTCTATAGTCACATGGGCTGCTCAGATGTGATAGGTAGGGTAGAAAATACACTGAAAACTGAGCATGTGCAGTAGCTGCCAACACTTCTCTGCAAAATGACCAGCTGAACTGGGGACACGGACAGAAGGGGAAGAACGAGAGCAGCAGGATCAACCAGGTTTTCTGCAGAATACAGAAAATGAATGCGTATATAAAGACAGCACACCAAAACAAATGTGATGCGAAAATAGATTATATTGAAGATACCAAAATATATCCAGGTTTAATATAATGGATTAATTAATACATACATCAAGTTAGTCTGTCACACCCTAGATCAGCCTTTCTCAACCTTTTCAGTGCAGAGGAACGCTTGACATAACTTTCCAGTCTCAGGGAACCCCTGCTAAATATGACTATATCTACAATTCATGATAAATTAGTGTGATAGAGGTAAGAATGCTCCTTACACTTGTGGTGATTGGGAAGAACTGCCCCCTTAAAGATTGCTAAAAAGATCAATGGTGTCAGTGGGAACTTACCTGAGAGGCAAAAATTGCTGATTGCTCAAGGAACCTCTAGCAACCTCTGAAGGAACCCTGGGTGAGAAACCCTGCCCTAGATAGTAAGGTAATACACATGGAAATAAATCCATGCAAGCATATACAATAGTGAAGTATATAAATAGGAAGACCTCCTTAATAAATGGTTATATTACCCCAAAGTGATGGTATTGGGCCTCTATTATTCAGCCTGACTGTGACACCACTGTTACACCTTTAAGTATGCTGTCTTACTGTATATTTATCTACTTCATCACTGTAGCTTCTTGCATGGATTAAACCGTACGTATGTCATTTGCTATCCTGGAAATGCTAGGCTAACATGTATATTTATGGATCCAATGTATTTTACCTGGATATATTGCTGCTGACCTTGAATTCTTCTTTTGGATTGCCACCAGCCTTGACCTCTCATTGTTTATTGAATTACTTAGTTACAGAGTTAGTTAGGTTGAACCAATATAAAAAAATAAATCTAATCAATAAACAGAACACCTTCATATACAGAATCCTATACCCACAGTTGATCCAGAGGAAGACAAAAAAAACCCTATAAAACATGGTCCAATTTGCTCCAGTAGGGGAAAAATAATTTCCCTTTAGATCACTCAGAATCCAGGATATTCCCTGGATCAACTACCCCTCCTGTTATTTTCTATAAATGTTGGTATCCAGTTATATTTGGTGAACACATCCAGCTCTTTTTTGAAACAATCTACTGAGCTGGCCACTAGTTCTTAAGGGAGTCTACTCTATATTTTCACAGCTCTTACTGTGAAGATACTTTTTTATGTGAAGTTTCCTCCAGATGTAAAGAGTGCCCCCTTGTCCTTTGTAGTGGCCTTAACGTGAATAACTCTACACCACGTTCACTATATGGACCACTCATGTATTTACAGTATATATGGTGAATATATACCCCCATAATCGCTTATTCTCAAGAGAGGATAAATTCAGTTTGGCTAATCTAGCCCCGAGTTCCAACATGCCTCTTATCAGTTTGGTTGCCCTTCTGTGATCTTTCTCCAGTTCTCCAATATCCTTTTTGTGAACAGGAGAAAAATTATTTTTTTTATCTCTGGAATTTATACCTCATTTAATATAAAAACGTATTGTGCTAGCTTTAGAATCTGCTTGACATTGCATGCTATTAAGTGTATGATCTACCAGAACACCCAAATCCTTTTCTACCATTGATTTCCCCAGCTGTTCCCCTCCTAGCATACATGCTGACAGCTCGAGAGGAGAGGAGAGCCGGTAATCGGCTTTCCACGTAGGGGACATGTACACTAATCATCAGGGCACTGATGATCAATCAGTGTGCCCTGATGATCAGTGTGGCCCCAGAAGTGCCACCTGTCAGTGTCCATCAGTGCCAGCAGTCAGTGCTCATCAGTGCCACGTGCCAGTGCACATCAATGCCACATATCAGTGCCCATCTGAGCTGCCTTTCAATGTCACCCATCAGTGCCAGTCAGTGCCACCTATCAGTGCCACCTATCAGTGCGCATCAGTGCTGCCTATCAGTGCCGCCTAACAGTGCCAGTCAGTGCTGCCTATCAGTGCCATATATAAGTGTCATGTATCAGTGCTGCCTTTCAGTGCCCATCAGTGATGCCTGTCAATGCCCATCAGTGCAACCTATCAGTGCCTCCCATCATCAGTGCCCATCAGTGACACCTATCAGTGTCCATCAGTGCAGCCTATCAGTGCCCATCACTGCAGCCTCATTAGCGCACATCAGTGAAGGAGAAAAATCACTTATTTACAAAATTGTATAACAAAAACTAAGAAAAAACTTTTTTTTTTCAAAATTTTCAGTGGTTTTTGGTTTGTTTAAGAAAAAAATAAAATCCCAGAGGTGATTAAATACCACCAAAAGAAAGCTCTATTTTTCTCAAAAAAATTATAAAAATTTCATATGGGTAGAGTGTTGCATGACCGCGCAATTGTCATTCAAAGTGTGACAGCGCTGAAAGCTGGAAATTGGCCTGGGCAGGAAGGGGGTATAAATGCCCTGTAGGCTAGTGGTTAAAAGAAATCAGATTTGTTTGACAACCTCATTTTTTTGTGAATTCATGCTGACTATTGGGAAAATACTTGAAGGTTTTTGCTAGAAAACAATATTTTAAGCAACTATAGAAATTAAACTAACTGGTCTGTAGTTACCTGGTAAAGACTTTGATCCTAAGGCCCCATTGGCCTTGCGCTAATCTTATGGTTCCAAGCAAGTCATTAAAGAGTCTCTAAAAATTGGAAACAATGGCTTTCAAATAACAGAGTTCAACTCTTTGAGAAGATGTGTAAGCTACCTTGCCCAAGTTTTCACCTTTATTTTGTGTAAATGTTTCTAAACCATATTAAGTTTGAGCCATTGGAGTTCTTTTTGGGCAAAACTATCCCCATTATGGACTTAAGCCCCTATTTTCCTTTGTATATACAGAGCTGAAGAAGGTATTTAATAAATTTTGTCTTCTCTTTGCTCTTCCCAGACCACCACAAACCCTTGGCCTGTGGCATGGATGCTCTTCTGAAATGACCACGACCCTTGCCTGACCAGCCTAGACTACAAGTACCCTTTCTGTTATCTTCAGTCAGTCCTGGTGCTGTCTAGCTACAAACAATAGCATTGTGTACTAAGGAGCCGGGAGCAACCAAAATTGGTAGGCCTGCTTGCTTCAAGGGAACATTGGATGCTAAAGGCTGAAGAAACACTTGTCAGCTATAGTTCCTGACCTAGGAATTGGGCTAAACACCACATCAATGAGTCAGAAAATGCTGTATAAATTGTATGGGACCTTTTGCATACTCTGCATTTTATCTAGAACAATTTAATTCAGATTTCTAATTAAATAATTTTTCCAATTACGGCTGATTCCTAACATAAACCTCTGGCCTTGAGAGATGTGCCGCTTTCTCTACTCAGGATCTTGCACAGTTTATAGGTGTAAGAAACCAATATTTAGTCCTAAAGACTGAGCATGTGAGGTCACTACTTAGAGTTCCCGGTCTTCCTAGTGTTTAGGTGACACTTTCACTGATGTTCTAAAAAAGTTTTATTAATCACCCCGTCATAACGATTTGTCTGCATTCTCCTGCTGGAATACAAGCTTTAGTTACTAGACAAGTATGGTCTGCCATGGCCCTGTCATCACCAGGGTGATCAGTTTATTATACTGCTGATAACTTGCAAGCATAAAAATGCACTCTTGAAGAATTTATGATTCATTAATTTAATAGCGTTAGGTAAATACTTCCTACTGAACATTAGCTAACTGGACCTGAGCAGGAATTTAAGTGACCTTATTTTTCAAACTGTGTGTATCTCTAATGTTGGCCAATACACTAGCATATTTTCAAATAAACGTTTGTACAGACACCTGTATGAAAATTTGATGACTTGCTGAACATCCCACAAAACCACTTCAAAATTGAATTTGCCTTTAAAGTGTTACTAAACCCAGGACCCTGCATTCACTCTATCTGGTGTCCCGCAGTACACAGAACATGGAAACTCAATCATTTTAGTAAATATAAACTGCTAAATACCTTTTCTCATCAGCAGAATATAGCAGTCTTGTGACTTCTATCAGTGTCCGGCAGAGCACTGGTTAATCTTGTAGGAGGAGTTTTCATTCTCCTCTGACTGTCCTATGAGGCTGCATGACCCCTGACCCTCTGTCTGGACAATGCTGATTGGGCCTGTGCCGATCGCATGCACCCTCCCCCCAAAAAAGCCCCCCAAAAACTTTCTAGCAATACACACCAAACTGAGCAGGTGCAGACTGCCTCCTAGGGCTCTGTACTATCAGCACCTGGATCAAGGACAGTGGAAGAAGGGGAGGATCAGAGAAGACAGGATCAAGCAGCCTTTTTACATAATGCAGAGGATAAACCCTTTAGGTTTCACAGTGAGTATAACAAGCATGCATTACTGAATATACAGACTGATTTTACCTTTGTGGATTTAGTAACATGATAACATTTGATTTTACAACAAATGCAATTCTCCTAAATGTGTCATGAAAATCTGATATCTACTGATAAAACCTTTAGACAAGTAGCTATTCCCCAAAGTAGCATATTTTCTGCAGTATCCTAACCTGCTCTGCATCTTGCATTAAATGCAGATTACATCATTACTTAGTTTTGGGGTGACGTACCCTTGATCAAATTTTTGCCAAGTGTTTGTTTCATCCACAGTAAAACTCAAGATTATACAATAGTTATTGCAGGTAATGGGTGCAGCCTGGATTTTGGTAGATAGCAAGGGCCCCAGAGTAATTTAAAAACTGTAAATTAACAGATCCCACATTGTGCAGGCACAGCTTAGCAATCAGTCATGAGTGGATATCATATATTATGCAGAGCTGATTTACAGTGAATTATCATCCATTCTTGTATGTATGTATGGGTAGGAATCTGCTGCCCTCTACTGTCTGTAATTCTAAGTGGCTGTACTTCTTACTGCCCTAGAGTTGATTATGTACATCACTTCCTGTCCCTGCTAGCTGGGGAAGAAACTCCAGATTGGTGGATTTTGATATCTTTCTAAAGAAGAGTTTCCAGGAAATAGACAGAGAGAACTGAGCCACATGTCCTGTCCATGGAGTTGCTGAGTTTGTATTTTCACCCACTCTAGAAAAGACTATTAAAAACGACTAGAGAGGGACTAAAGTGCAGAGGCTGACTTTGAGTTTCAGTGCCACACCACAGTTCCTGCCAGTAAGAAGTCACATTCCAGGCTGGTCAGACAACAGTTGGAGGATACTCCCATGACCACTGATCTTGTCTTCAGGTCTCCAACGCAAAGACTGATGCCTCAATATCCTCAGGTGCTCCTGCAACTGGACTATGCTGCAACATTCACCTGGAGGTATCTCTCATAATAACTACATACACCTGGGTATATGTGCACAATTCCACCAGGACTCCTATCCGGCTCTTTACTGATAAATCCTGTTTGACTTCTCTATACCTTACACGGGTGTCAAACTGGCGGCCCTCCAGCTGTTGCCAAACTACAAGTCCCATGAGGCATTGCAAAACTGACAGTTACAAGCATGACTCCCAAAGGCAGAGGCATGATGGGACTTGTAGTTTCACAACATCTGGAGGGCCATTGGTTTGATACCCCTGCCTTAGAACTAAGTCTTACCAACCAGCTCTTATTTGACACGGGACATAGCAGATGGGAAAGGTGGGGAAACTTAGGAGGAAGGAAAGGGTGAGGCCAAGAAAAGCTACTGCATGAAATGCTGAGATTTGTAAATCACATCCAATGCCAGTACTTCTGGATCAATTGACCAGATTGATTTGTGGTTTTCACTGACAATAACCTCTGCTTTAAAACATTTATCGGTTGCATAAATTTTATGTTTATTGACAAAATGAACTAGATCTCATTATTTTGTATAGTAAAAAATATTCATAATCAGCACTAATATAATTTTAAACAGGGGTTGTAAATGTGGTCAAAACTATGAAGCAATGCTGGTAGGGTCAACCAAGGAATGCCAAAACAGTGACATTTATTCTGCACAGTAAACGTACCAGGTGGAATGGAAAGCCATAGGCTGCAGACAATGTCCTGCACACCTGGGCATGGCTCTCACCACGTGGTGCAGAACACATTCCACACTGGTATAATTATAAAGACTCAGGTGTGAATACATCAGACAGGGTAATACAATATTCCAAACTCTCCTCTGCCCAAATAATAATACAGCTGGGGACAAAGGTTTACTTGTAGATTGTAAATGATTCATCAGGTGTCTGAAGGAAGTAGAACAAATATTACTGGGAATTACAATTATAGCATACAGCTGTTACTTTATAAGAATAAAAAAAAAGATAAAAGAAATTCTTTGCAGGGGTAGCCAATATCAGATGCATAAAGGCACATGGGGCAACAAGGACCCACCATGGATTACATAACCAGACAGAAGCTGCTGGTCTCACTTCACAAAATCCTCATTTTATATAACTAAACCGAAACGCTTCCTTTATCAGGTCAGTTTTTCATGCTGGACATTTCAAAATGTTGTTTAAATTTAACATGACCCGTACCCTTAACAAAGTCCTTAACCACTTCCAGACCTGGCACTTTTTGTTTACATGTAACCATCAGTATTTTTGCTAGAAAATTAATTAGAACCCCCAAACCAGGGGCGGACTGACCATTCGAGAACTCGGGCACTGCCCGAGAGCCCGGGGTCAGTAGAGGGCCCCATGAGATGCCCCTGGTACCTTTCATAGGCTTTTTTTGGGTGTGGTTTGAGTGTGGGTAAGGACACATGGGCCCCATGATCCCCTATTGCCCGGAGGCCCCATGAGTTGTCAGTCCGCCCCTGCCCCAAACATATATATAATGTTTGGGGGTTCTAATTAATTTTCTAGCAAAAAATTATGATGGTTACATCTGCTTAAAAAAAATGTATATATATATACATACACATATACACATATATTTTTAAGCAGATGTAACCATCAGTATTTTTTGCTAGAGAATTAATTAGAACCCCCAAACATTATTATGTATATATATATATATAATTTTAATGCAAAAAACACA